TACCAAATATTAACACTGATTTTCTCAGGTGTTCAAATACTTATGTTCAGCAGTGCTAGACAAATAAATTCTTTAAAAATCATACAATGTGATTTCCTGAATTTTTTTTTAATTCTGTCTCTCAGAGTGGGAATGCACCTACAATGTGAATTTCAGACCCCTCCATGATTTCTAAGTGGGAGAACTTGCAAAATCGCAGGGTGTTCAAATACTTCTGTTCCTCACTGTAGCTTAATTTTATATTGAACATCATTTATCAAAGGCAGTGGTGAGATTATTAATAAACTAATCCTAAAATTGAGACTAAAAAACATCAGACTCCTAAACAGCCGACTCGGGATCTACCTCATGTAATTCCATCTGTACTGTTTACATACTCATTTTGCACATGCATAATTGCACACTCACTGCTGAATATTTGCACATCACGGCTCTCACATAGCATATATTTCTCTCTGCATTATATTGTGTTCTTGTTGCATTATTTGCTTCTTTCACTTGCTGCTTTAAAGTGCCTTAGATTTGTGTTACTGCCTATTTAGATTTGTGTTATTGCTCATCTACTTTATATTTCACTTGTATTATGTGGCATTCATGTGGACGGCAAAGTAACAATTTCATTGTACAGGGAAACACATTTCCTAACTGTGCGTATGACAAATAAACACTTTGAATCTTGAACCTAAAACTGGTTTTGGGTGGAGGAACCAAACAATACACACGGGTGTATTAGGTGTTCTGCTATTGGCTGCTCCACAGGTGTGAGTGGGAGGGATACAGCCAGTCCACTTTATATAGCCTGCTGAATCTGTATGCATTTCAGCATAACAAGACAGTGCAGCCGCTGCACCAGCTTTAAAAGTTGAAAGTTAAACTACTGGCAATTTGAGTTTTTACCCTTAACTACAATATTTATGCTGATAGGTGATCATTTGTTTAAATATTCAGCACTTACATCTTTAAACTAAAAACATATTAGAACATATAACAAACTAAAGGAAGTATTATTTTCCTGTAGGTGTTAAATGCTGATGTTATGTAGTTAAGGTGTAAGAGGATGGCATGACAAGCCGATATCCAGAACTAAAAAACAAAAACAAAAAACCAGACACTGTATACCTGAACCACTGTAAACATAACATGATTGTCATGCATTAGTCTATGCTAGCACAGAGAAAAATCTAAATAAAAAGGAAGGATCTTGAGTCTTCCCAATCATGAAGTTTAATGGAGAAGTAGAAGACAGACCTCCCAGTTTGTTGAGGACTCTGGCCACAGCACCTGAGCATCCCTCACAGGTCATCGCCACCTCAAACTCGTGCTTCTGTAAGAGACAGATTAAATCATGTGCCTTTAACGCGATTCCCTTAGTTATCATAGTTCCCATTCACTGCATCAACAGCCAGGTTACAGGTAATCAATAGCTGAGGATCATATAATGTGAAATCAGATTAGCCATACCAAACGTCAACAATGCAGGACTGCAACCGAATTGACATTATTTTCACCATGACTGATATTTATGAACCATTTAGTCCACGAACCACAGTGAAGCTGTCTTGTTTGGTTTGACCATCATCCAAAATAACCTAAAATATTCAGTTTAAAATTCCAAGAAAGACAGAAAATCGTCTCTTGGAGAGGCTGAAATCTGCAAACATTGTGCTGAAATGTTTGAGAATGGCTGTAACAATTAATCGTCAAAATACTAACATATTTTTAACCAACTATCTCAGCTCTAAAACTCGGCCATTTGTAAAACAGCATTTTATTACGGTGCCGTTAACTTACTGCGTATTGTCTATTGTGCGGTTGGTAACTTTAGCATTAGCTGTATGCTGCTGTGTTTATTCTGCGGCTGAGTCACTAAACAGAATCGATTTTGACCTCTAACGTCACGTGATATCAATGGAAGTGATTGCTGTCTTATGTACAATTAAGCCAGTTTTGAAAGCTAGCTTGCGGGCTACTTAGCTCTGCGGAGAGGAAATGCTATCTTAATTAACGTTAAAGCTAAACACCACAACAAATAAAATATCTGTCATAAGAACTCACAGTCATGTTTGAAGTGATGTGTGGCAACTTGCTGTCAGACCGGCTGTGGACTTCCAACGCTGACTAACCCACAAGTGCTTAGGTAAACAATCAGCTTGCTGTCTTATGTACAATTAAGCCAGTTTTGAAAGCTAGCTTGCGGGCTACTTAGCTCTGCGGAGAGGAATGCTATCTTAATTAACGTTAAAGCTAAACACCACAACAAATAAAATATCTGTCATAAGAACTCACAGTCATGTTTGAAGTGATGTGTGGCAACTTGCTGCCAGACCGGCTGTGGACTTCTACCGCTGACTAACCCACAAGTGCTTAGGTAAACAATCAGCTTAGCATACCATTGTCAAGCTACAAACAAATCGCCACGATTTCCGGTGAACATATTTGTGTGTCGCTTTTGAGTCACATACAAAATACAACAAACTATATTTCGATATAAAAATAATAATCAATAAACTCAAACAAAAACAGAACAAATTACTTTGATAATTTTGTTTTATTTTTTTCAAACGTAAGCCCGCTTCACTTCCGCTCAACAAGCGACCAATGACCCGCGTGACTAGATATTCCTGTTTCTTCTGTTCAATTTAGAAACATTTTTGTTGAAGTAAATTACATCCTCACACGACAGAAAGCGAGAAAAAATGCATAGATAACTTCAAAACGTACCCCCAGCGTAGTCCTGCTTCCCCAGTGCTCAAACCTTGAGTTTCCAAGTGTAATATCTTTCCAAAATAAAAGCTCTGGTAGTAGTGAGGTAAATTAATTAAATTTAATTAAGATAAGGCCCAAAGATAGCAATGCATGTGCACTCACAGTTTCGGTTCATATGAAGTAAAACACACGACATGTTCCTCTGAAATGTATAAAAACTGGTTAGGATAAAATGAAATTATAAAGTTTAAGTATAAAACAACGAGTGCATGCAGACTTTCATTTTAAATACAGAGCGGAGTAAAACCTATAATGTTTCCCTTTAAATGTAGTGGACTGCAAGTATAAAACAGTATAAGATCGAAATACAAAATAAAGTCCAAGTACCTCAGTACTTAGACGTAAAGCAGATTAATTGAGAGAATGAGAATAATTAATTAATTGATTGATTAGAATGCAACATTCTGTCAGTTACCATAGGCACAGTCCGTCTCCATGGCAACAGTACGTCGACCACCACGGCACATTTCGTCCTCGGTCGACCGGATCACGTGACCACACCACTTGCTTTGGAGAGCCGGGCTGTCGAGTCTTTTTCAATCAGTGCGGTGTCGTGTCCGCGCTGTATTTAACCGGCAGGTATGGTCATGATATGAAAATTAGAGGTCTGTGGTGAGGCAACGCCAGCAAGGAACACAGAGCGAAAACAAGGTTTCTCCGAAGAAGGTTGGTGTTCGTAATGAGCCGTGTTACTGGTACTGTCTGCATTTAGGTGTTTACAGATCCAGCGATGACATCGGAACATATGGCTATCGTTTGCTAACCTGGTTTCATGACACATTGTTAGCTGCACTAGCTTTAATGTGTTCGTCGAGTCGCAGCAAAATAAACCACCGTGTTTCTAGTTGTCTTAACATGAGTAACTAAGTTACCATTTTAGCTAACGTCTTCTTCTCTTGCTTTTTCGGTTCCTTCCCCGTGTGTCTTTCTTGGAGGCAAGTAAAACCTAAAGCGTTTGTACACAGCCATATTTATCTTCCTAGCACAGCACAATTAATCATAAGCTTCTCTGCTGGTGTGGTTTCCCAGTCAGATATCATCGCCGCTGTCTGCCTTATCACCGGCTCCACTGAGGCCGCAGACTCTCACTCGTCTCCTGGCCAAAGATGAGTTCAAGTGATGGCAGTATCGGGGTTTATCTGGCCACTCTGTACTATGGTTGTTTGTCTGTTGCAATTAAAAAAGAAATTTGTAAGTTGAAAGCATAAAATATCAAAGGAATACGGAGAAATTGGATTTTGTTTTGGCCGCACTTGTTTCAATACGGGATGCTAGCCTCTCTTTATCGTAGCTAAACAGCGGAAGCTACTGTACAGTTGCCCCTCAGACCTTTGAATGAAGGTTACCGGGTGTGCTAATTGCTTAATTGGCAAAAAACGTATTTACGTTACCTCTTAGTAAAAATGCAATATTGACCGTGGTAGTTCATTTTTCTTTGAAGGTCATTTAATGGCTTGTGCCTGTTTTGACGTGCAGCTGACAGAATTTGCATGTCATGCCGTTTGCTTTTCCGTGGTGCTGACTTTTGTCCTGTCATTGTGAAAATTGCTGAGTAGTTCATAATTTCGACACTTTGACCTTTACACATTTGCTGTGTAGCTGGTGTTGAAGTCCTGTTTCTTTTCTTGATGCCCAATGAACCACTGCTTTACAACGGCTCATGCCCAGGTGGAACTGCCTGGAGAAGTCCAGTTTCACCCCCATTTGGATACACAGGGGACCCAGTAGCTGAGTAGTTGTTTGTTTGTTTGAGGCATTTTTCAAGCAGAAAATGCCAGATGGATTATATGTTCCATCATCCCTAATGTAAGGATTTGCTTGTTTTATGCAATTGTAAATGTAATATTTTATGATATTAGACTCCTGGTTACACAAAGACAGCACCTCGAACTCTGGGAAACTGATGGGCATTTTTTTACTTTGCTGTGTACAGAACAGCTCATTGACTAATTGAGAAAATAATCTGCAGAATAATCAACAATAAAAATGCTTATTTCTTGCAGCCTTAATTGCAATGAAGACCTGTGTATATACCACAATATAAACTTTAATGTCACCCCCTCCTACTCACTATGAATTTTGAATTTATACATGTTAATTAGGGATCACTGAATCAAAGATACAGCACCTTATTTAAGGAGCATGATCTGTCCATGTAGTGTTCTGTCATCGTAAGATTCATCATCCAAATCTTACACGGAATCACTTTTTCCTGTAGTGGGAAGCTGTCAATGCTGGACTCCCTGATCTCCCAGTTTTAGGATCTGTGAGGCTGGAAGAGACAACACCCAGCCGTCCACAACGCCACCTGCCTCAACATGATGGCATCCAGTGATGTAGACATCCAAGGTGAAGGTATGAAAATCAAGTGCACTTTTTGATGACAATGTGAAAGATGGTTATATTAGAATGATAGTATACACTATAATCTGGGTCCATAGTTGCACTATGAAAACAAAAAACAAAGCAGGATGGTCCGTGTTAACTCGGAGGCCAAAAACAGAGCTAACAAACAAGACTCCAGATGAACGATCATGTTACTGTGATCTATTCTATTAGGTAACTTGGAAAATGTTTGCCATATCTTCTTATAAGGTGATGCTTCTCCTAAGTCCTAATGTCCTTTGAGTTGTCCTTTGCATGATTTCAGAGGCAGGAATGGAATCTGAGCAGGAAGGGTGGGCCATAGATACACTGCAAAGTTCTGTGTTGTTTAATCAGAAAGTGACGTATAGTAAAAGTCTGTTTGTTTTATGATTAAGCGCATACATTTCTGCTGTGACCACACAGCAGTTGTGCCTTGTACCCCGATGCTGTGGGACTGCTTGGTAGCAGGGCAACACTTTAAATATTTCCAGGGAGGAATACTTTAAACATGGACAACCACAGTAGGATGTTAGATCCGGTGACTTTGACCTGGTTGCATTATGTTGTGAAAAAACATCCACCTTGTGCCAGAATATCTTGATAGCTCAGTGAGCTGCAGGTTTCCACGGCCCTGTTGAAAAGCTGCCTTATGTGTTATCCCATGTGAACATGTGTTATCTTTACTTTTTTGCTTGTCCTCAGGTTCTTTGTTGTCTGACCAAAATCCATCAGAAATGGATGCTCTGTGTCCCTCTCCTCCAGGGCCGTCCAGACCCCAACGGAACTATGAGAGAATTGGAGGGCAAACAGGAACCACGTAAGTATTATAGCATCTAAAATGCAGTTAAGAGCCAACAGTCAGTAAGAAAAGTATGTTTGTGTAATAAAAATAATGCAGATGTAACTTGTTTCTCCTTCTCCAGGTTTTTTCAGACTCTTATCCACCTTTTGAAGGGAAACATTGGTACAGGGCTGCTGGGTCTGCCTCTGGCTGTCAAGAATGCAGGGCTGGTGGTAAGTACACAAAGATTGAATTAACTGATCACACTAGGTCATGTGACAGGCCTGAACTCACAAAATTAGATTCTGCTCCCATTCGTGACATGATAGCAGACCTGTTCAGGCAGTTTGACATGAATGTATACTTTATGCAGTGAGCACATATGACTGTTTTTGTGGAAAGTACATTTAAGGTCGTGTGGTAATGATCATCACAAGGTAGTAGTTCTATTCATGAGTGACTCTGGGATGTCTCAGCAAAGATGTTAATTTGGATTTCAAATAAGAATACAGCATTTAATTATGGGGATTGCCTACTTAATTTTACTGCTAGTGGTGAACTGTGAGCCTTGTCCAGAGTCGTGGTGGATTTTCAGTTCATTCTCATGTGTAAGGTTTCAGTATTGTACTGTAACGCTGGCAACATAATCTCCCTCTGCCTGTTCTCCACCCAGCTGGGGCCGATCAGTCTGCTGGTGATGGGTGTCATAGCAGTCCACTGTATGAGGCTGCTGGTGAAATGTTCCCACCATCTCAGTGCAAAGTAAGGAAAAACACCAGAAAAGCCTGTAATACTTGACAAGCATGGTTTTCACTGGATTTCTGTCATGTTCCCTCATTTCCAGCAGGTAAAGCAGAGTTAAATAACGTAACCTTTGAGCTCTGTAAAATGTCGCCCATAAACACCGGGTTTTTGTATCAGCTTCTCCTCACCAAACGAAAATACTCCATTACAAGTAAAAGTCCTACAATCAAAGTGTTACTTATGTAAAAGTACAGAAGAATTATACCATCAAAATATACTTACTGGTAAAACACCCTGGAAGTGTTTTCTACACCCATCTCAAGCTGCAGAGAGAATTCCATTATATCAAACGAGTCAATCCGTGAGACGTGCCTCTCCCGTAGAATCCTCAAGGGCTTATTTTTTTTAAATTTTTTTGTCCTTCTGCTGCGTTTAGTGAAGCGTAATCTCCACAGTCAGCTGTATAAATCACACAATTCCTGTTTTCTGTGTCTAGTGGTATCTGTTACAACTGACCAGGCTGCTTGAGTTTCACTTTCGCCCTCTGTAACAAGCCTGGGAAGATCAGTAGAATCAAGAAATTAGCAGGCTACATAAAAATGCAATTTCTTCCTGATGATTTTACATGAAAACTATTTTTGTCCAGTGCATGTGTTGTTGGTCGGCCTGGAATAGACTCTTTGTACCACTGCTGTCCTCTGACAGGTAGACAGCTAGAGTGATGACTTTAAAAACATCGGATCCACCGCCCACGTCTCGCTTTTAGTGCAGATTGAATGGAATCACGCTTCAGTAGCACTTACATCACACTTCTAGTGTGTTTTACCAGTTACAGCACCAAAAATAAATTCATTATGCAGAAACGGTCCCTAAAAATGCATCCTATTACTGGATATTATTAGTTAATGTTGTAATTTGGACATATGTAGCTGATTATAGTTGCTTAATAGTGAAGCCTGGCATCATATTTATGAATTTCCATTGTGAGTAAAGTAGAAAAAAGTGTAATATTTTTCTGTGAAACGTAGTGGAGGTAGAAGTATAAAGTACTATAAAATGAAAGTCCTCAAGTGAAGTACATCAATTTTGTACAGTTCTTGAGTAAATGTACTTTTTCTACCAGTGATTAGCAGCGGTGCCTGCAATACAACCGGAGCTGTTTAAAAGGGAAGTTACAACTGTAGAGCACAGTTAAAGCTCTACAGTCCTGTTACCTGGTCCTGAACCACCACCTCATCAAACACTTCACTTCTCCTGTGTGGAGAGAAGCAGCTTCATTTGTTTGAACAGCACTTTGTTTACTGAAGTCGACGGAGGTGAAGCTGGCTCAGCTAATTCGTCTTCAACTGAAAGTTCTTTTCTTTGGGGTTTATAGGACTTTGTCTCTGCAGTTCTTTCTTTCCAAAATACAGCCTGAAGATAATTTCTTGTCACCACCTCCACTGCCCTGGTCACAGGTCTGCTGTGGTTTGTTCCTGCCAAATAATCAAACCCTGTACGTGCTGTAAAACCACATCCTTTATGTTGTCATTTGTTTATTTAGCTAGGCACTGTGCCAGCAGTGGCTTGTTGTTGTCCCTGGCTGACAGATTACACTCTGTTTTAGTGTCTCTCCACCCTTTTCTACTGTGTAATCAGCAATATATAGACACTGAGTTTTGAATGCAGACATCTTGTAACTGTGACCTGCAATCAAAAGAAGTAGTGTGCTGCAGTAACTGAACCAGTGGGACCGTAAACCCCATCTATGATCTGTTTACAGGCTTTAGTGTGTGACAACTGAGGTGATTAAACCTCTCACGTCCTCTTTAATGCCACCCTTTACAGTCAGCCCGCCTGTCTACAGGGTCTTCCACACAGAATTTATGCTAAAGAGGATCAAGCAGATAGAGAAGGTGAAAGAAGAGTTTCTCCAGAGAAGGTGAAAGAAGAGTTTCTCCAGAGAAGGTGAAAGAAGAGTTTCTCCAGAGAAGGTGAAAGAAGAGTTTCTCCAGAAACCCAGAGTCAAAAATGGAAGGTGAAAGAAGAGTTTCTCCAAAGGTGAAAGAAGAGTTTCTCCAGAGAAGGTGAAAGAAGAGTTTCTCCAGAGAAGGTGAAAGAAGAGTTTCTCCAGAGAAGGTGAAAGAAGAGTTTCTCCAGAAACCCAGAGTCAAAAATGGCTCAGAAGTCCTGTGTCATTCCCAGAAATAGAGGAAACAAAATGGTGCTCTTTCTGTTACTTGCATTTCTTCATTGCTGAGTCATCACCACTTCTTGTTCTGTGTTCACATACCAGAGCCACAGGGTGCATGTACTAAGCAGTATATTTCCATATGTACAGTAGTCACTATCTGTACATACAGACTGACAAAGTCTTAGTTTTGCACCCCTACCCTTTATTAGCTGTCTTCCTGTTTCGCTCCCAGCCGGCCCTCGGTGTTCTCAGCAGTGGTAATGAACCATTTTATTTTTCATTGACTGTTCATGGTTTAATAATGTCACCCATAGCTGATCTTGCTCCACTAGGTGGGGTTTGCCTACAACTTTTATTTTCATTTTAGGCTTTTTGTGGTTGTACTGTGCAGCCTTCAGTGGGTGTAAATGTCTGACTGTGTGATGGGGTGGACTCAGCCCCCCAGAGGTAAATGTACAGACACTAAAACCACCCGTCTAATATCTGAATAATAATGCAGAGCAAGCTGGGTCAGAGCCCGTCTCAGCTGTTGTCCTCTTCAAAGAGAGAATTTTACAGCCACAGTTAAAAGATGTGACTCTGTGCCTGGTCCAGGATGAACAGGCCGTCTCTGACCTATGGCGAGGCAGCGCAGTACGGGATGGAGAACGTCCTGTGGCTGAGGAGACACTCCCACTGGGGAAGGTAAAACAAATGTTTACCAGGTTTTAAAACCAGTTTTTACCTTTTACTCATGCTGTTGTGCTGCAGGGTTTATTTCTTTTTTGTTTTGGTTTTTTTTACATGTGATTTTTAGAAGAAGAAAAAACAAACGTTTGCTAATGTTGTGTTTTAACCTGTGAGCATTTACTGTACATTTTCAGTGCTTATCCTAGTCGGGTTTAATCAGTTATCATACCCCATGATGCTCTTCAACAACAGAACATGATTATGGAAAAAATACTGAATACTTTTTTTTAAAGTTTGTATAGTTTGAAATAATTAGTTTACATTTTTTTGAAGTTTTTTTTTGTTTTTTTGTTTTGTAAAAGTTCAGTGAAAACTGGTAGTTAACTGTTGAGAAAATTGAGACAAGTGTCGAATTGGTACAATTCCAGTCATTTTACTCTTGGTACTTACTGATTGGTGGGTAGTCACTAGTGTAACATAGTCGGTGCACAGCAGGTTACAGAAATGGGGAAGAAGTCAGGTAATTCTCAGTATTGTATAAGCACTCTTACCGTGTTGTCTGACCTCTTCCCCCTCTCTCACACTGTTTGCCTCAGACGGACGGTGAACTTGTTCCTCATCATCACCCAGCTGGGCTTCTGCTGCGTCTACTTTGTCTTCCTTAGTGACAATGTCAAGCAGGTTGTAATCTCACACCCACACACACACAATATGCTACTTACAAGGCCATTAAGTGACATTTGAGATGAAAACCCTTATCTAAATACAAATGCTTAAAAGTACAATATAGCATAATTTATCAGGTTGTGTGTCTGTTTGTCCACTTTGTGATACGGTTTGTTTGTTGTGCCAACATAATGCACAAGTTTCCATAAGATTATTGGCCATGTATGTACAGATTCTCACTGAGAGAAAGTTTACACACAGTGCTGTAGTTAATAATAAAGAGATGACTAGCAATAGTGGGTATGAGGACTGACATGCCCCAGCGCTAACAGAACAAGTTAAAATGACCCCAAACCAGATCTCACCGCTGTTATGCATGTCGCAGCATGCACGGATAAGGCAACACATCCCTGTCTTGTACATGTGGTGGAAATGGGAACGGCCTCAGATTTGGCTTTATAGGATTTAGTGGAAATTTATAACAGTTTATACATTTCTTACACATAAGAAAACATGTACACTACTGACCCTGTCACACTTTGTGATGTATTGCTTCTCTTTATTTTTGTCTAAACTGAAAAAATGAAGAGAAAACAATATATTCACACAGAAATACAACATGCAACACACGAGCATGAAGATTAATTTGAAGAAAATCAGAAGTCACATCTGGTTTTATGTCTGTTCCACCCAAGCACATTGTCATCCATGGTTGTTGTGAGCTCACAGGAGGGTTTGCTCTGTCTGTGGTTCCTGTGCCCTTTGACTCGTGCCCTACTGTGACCCCTTGTTAATGTCTAGAGGTCAAATGGCTTTCGGTAAACCTTTCAAATGTGTTTTTAAACTTGCCTCTTAGTTCATTGTTGATGCAGAGTAGTAAATTGTGTAGTACCGTTTCTCACCAAGAGATGATGCTGTCTGCCTGCTCTGGTGTCTTTTCCCTGCAGCCACAGTAACCATACCAGGCAGAATGCAGTACTGAGTAAACTGAAACAATGAATGTGGTTTGAGAGTTTGTGGTCACATTAATCACTGTCTTGTTCTTCTTCCAAGCCTGATTATAATGTTGTGAACTAATTAAAGTCTCTGGAATAATTAGCAAAATGTTCAATAAGTAATTCAGCCGAGGCTTAATGCATGACTGTATGATAATCAGGTTTTCTCGAGTAAAAATGCCAAACATTTGCCAAGTAAAGCTGGTCTACATTTCTATATTTATACAACTGTAAATTACATTGGATAGAATGAGTAGTTGGCCTGTGTAAGGACTGGGAGCACTGGTATCTTGTCATAGCTGTTTTTGACTTCATTAACTTGATGGTGAAAATAACCAGGATTGTTCTGGTCGGTTCAGCTCAGCAGTGAGAAACAGAGTAGACCTAACTGTTTTCACCCAAGTAGTGAAAAAGTCCCTCAACAATACAGCTTCTGGAACAAGTTTTCTGCAGAATCGGTCTCCTTCCTTCTCTCTGCCTCATGTCTCATTTCTCATTTCTCACCAGGTGGTAGAAGCAGCCAACGCCACCACCTTCAGCTGCCACATGAACTACACCAACCAGACTCAGATCCTGGTGCCGAGCTTCGACTCCCGTCTCTACATGCTCTGCTTCCTGCCTGCCATGATCCTTCTGGTTTTCACCCCCAACCTGAAGTACCTGGCTCCCCTCTCTCTGGTGGCAAATCTGGTCATGACCATCAGCTTGGTCCTTATCTACTTCTACTCACTCACGGTAAACACCGGACACTGCTCTCGTCTCTTTCCGATCAGTTTCACTTCACCTTCACCAGTACAGAGAGAGAGAGAGATCTGCTGACTTCAGTGCTGCTTCTCTACTCTGCCATTTGGCACCCTGACTGTTAACATAGGTAGGTTAGAAAACTCTCTGGGCAGGAAATGTGCGCTGCTGTAGTTTATGCAGGTGGCCAGGAAACGGTTTTGACCTGTATCATATTTTCTGTGCCTCTGTCACATGAACACATACAAGTCACACATATGATACTGTATTTTCTAATCTGAAATAAGATAGTAGGTGGAAGTGCTTGCTTGTTATAAAAATGCTGTTATTGCCTCCACTTTTATAAGGTGGCAATTACAGTTACATGGATGAGTGTGCACACTGGAAGTTATTATATATAAACTAACGGGCAAACATGCCTAACAGTAATAAATGCAATGGTCACTTTATCAGGTACACCTGTATAATCTAATGCAATTTAATACAGCAGCTCTGCCATTAGGTCGACTTCTACGACGCCTATAATATATGAGATGATGTACAGTAATTGATTCTTAGTGGTGCTGTTGTGCCAGATTACATGACGCTTTACCATCATGTTACCACTTTAATTGGTACAGTTCCATACATGATCTGTCGATCAGCAGATCCACATTGGAGACTTGCTCGCAGTCTGAAAGACATGCAGAATAGATGGCTACATCTGTTAGGAAGAAATTATTGATTGATTGCTTATATATCGGGGTCAATCCCTTGATGTATCATCTCATTTTCAACGGGGTCCCTAAGCAAGCACTCACAAAGTAACAAGATGGAACATGTTATCAACAAAGACGAGCACAATGAAATGTCACAACCTTAAACAAAAATAATAATAATAAACAGTATAACCCAGCAATCGGTGATGGCATTGATGAGAACACAGCTATCTGAAATGCAAAGAACGAACATATACAGCTAAATTATTCCAGCCAGGAGGCGCGCTATACGTCAGAGCCTTAGAGACACGAGGAACTGTAAAGCTGATCAGAACGTCGCAATAAACGGAAGGATAATTAAAATGTATACATTTAAAAATAAACCGATAACAGTGTAGTTGCTATCTTGTATCAAGTGGAAGCCAACTGATCATATCAAACATTGTACAGATATTGAAGTAATTACCTACTGCGCAAAAAAAGAAGCTTCTGCATATGAAGCAGTAGTCTGCCACCTCCAACCAGCCACACTAAACCCTCACTTTTCTCTCTGCTTCTTACACCCTGTGTCTCTGTTTCGACTCAGCTGAATGGCTCCGGGGGTTGTTATGGATAACAGGATGACTGGTAGTGACAGTCTCCTGATCACCTGCTTTCCAGCTGCAGTGTCTTTCATCAAGCAACTTCAGCTTCTTGCAGCTTTATAGGAGTCATGTTCCCTGAGAAATGGCTTTGTTTTGAAAAAGATATTTCTTGCATCAGGAACCTTACGGAGATGCAGTACTAAGAGATATATGTGGCCTGTAAGGTGTTTCTGTGGCTGACAAATTACCTGAGCAAGGACTTCTGGGAAAAGTAGAGAATAAAGGCTACAAGTAAAGTGGCAAGAGAAAGTGTGAACCCTCTGAAGTTACCTGTTTTTCTGAATTAATCATCTAAACCTCAAGTATAGACAAGCACTATGTTCTTAAGTAAAAAAATAATTTTCACACCACACGTGCTGCTGCATGTTCTCTCAAACAATTCAACCTTGGTTTCGTCAGTCTGCAAAACATTTTCTCAGTAGTGTTGTGAAGAGTCAAGCTGCTCCTTGGCAAATGTTTGGAGAAGAGTAGTTTGTTCTGTGGTGCCCTGCCATGGACACAGTGAACCATGAACAGAGATGTGAACCAGTTTTTGCAGAATGCAACGTTAATGTTCATGTGTTTTGTTTTCCCCTCCAGCACATCACATCCCCCATCAACCTCCCAGCAGTGGGCAGAGCTAAAGACTACCCTCTCTTCTTTGGAACAGCCATCTTTGCGTTCGAGGGGATCGGAGTGGTACGTGATCAGCTGAGGATAACTGGAGGAAGCTTATCCTTATCTAGATGAGATATTCAGTTACTGATGGCCCTTACCATATTTTTAAAAATGTATTCTTATACATTAGCAACACATGAATCTATACTGGCTTTATCATATGTAGTTTACTTTGGCTTTTGCTCAGTGTAAGAGTCCGTGTGTTCATAGTTCTTACATCGGTGTGAACCAGCCCATAAAGGAGAGTAGACCTTTTGTAAGGCAGCCTTGTCATCTGTCATGTTTTACATATTTATATTTGGCTTTTTTTTAAGCTGGTTTATGTATCATTTTGTTTAGTCTTTGATTATGTGCATGAAGAAAAATCTCAGGTTATCGTCATAGTTAATTATATTGCTTAATAAATCCATTGGCCAATACTGACTTTTGTATATCACTATGTTATGTGTTACTTTTGTGCTTGAAGATGCACATACCAGAGAGTACAGAGGCAAATTCTTCATCGGTGTTCAGTTCCCACCACCCAGTGTGCTGGAGACACAATTGGTAACATGACAAGTGCAGTGCAGGAGGGCCTCAGTCTTTAGCTGAAACATCAACACAAATAGCCTTCATTATAATGTCCACAACCTGCCCGTTGTGATGTTAACATTCTGGTTGGCAGGTGCTTCCTCTGGAAAACAAGATGCAGAGGCCCCAGAGTTTCCCCCTGGTTCTGTATTTAGGGATGGGCATCGTCACCTTCCTCTACACCAGCCTCGGTACCATAGGATATCTGTGCTTTGGAGAGCACATAGAAGGGAGCATCACTCTCAACCTGCCAAACTGCTGGTAAGACAGCATCAACATTCGCTGCATTTGAGTGCACTGATCAGAGTTGGATGTTGGACAATATGGAAAAAGATGCCAATAAAGAAGAAACCCACCGTTTCTTTTAACACTCGGCACTAACCTACTTACAGCTGTAAGTCAGGTTTTATACTTGTCTGTATGTATTGTAGGTTTTCAGCAGTGGTTGCGACTAATGGTGTAATAGTGACGTCAGTACAGGTGAATAATGAAGGTGGCAGAGATGTTGCTATGCTGCCATCTGGTGGTCAGTTTGAAAACAGCTGGAAACTCAATGTGCCCCCATAAAAGATAATGGGACCATATCCTAACAAATTATCAACAAGCTTTCCCACAGCAGTTAGGATCTTATCAGCTGGTTTAATCTCACTGAACATGTATTAGACCTGTGGCGCTTAACAGTTTGTGCTGTGGAGATAAGTCAGTCTGAGTCATATTCAGAATTCATCACTGTTACAGTCAGGAACAAACTTGGTGCCATAATTCAAACAATCTAAAATTTTAAATGGAACAGAAAATGGGTGAATATATTTAATTAGTTAAATTCCACCAAACTCAGTTTCTAACTTCAAGCTTCTGTTGGCTTGAGACTAGTTTTATGGTGTTTATTACCTCAACACTTTGACACTTTTTTGTCAGTGAATAATTTTCTTCAGTCTCCTTGCGCTGTCTGTGAAAAAATGAATAGTAGTGTAATATTAAAACCTGACTTCCCAGTATAACCCTCGTCACGATGCTGGTCTTAGTTACATGTGTCGATGAAGACGAGCTTCAGTCACAGGGCAGAGTTTTCCCAGAACCCAGTGGGCTCTAAAATGTACCAAATGGCTTGTGGTGGTTTTATCAAGTAAAGTGGTAAATGGAATGCACGTGTATAGCACTTTTCTACCTTGCCTGGACAAAGCGCTTTACAGATTCACCTATTCACTCACACCGATGGCGGCGGAGCTGTCATGCAAGGCGCTGGCCTGGCCACCGGGAGCAACTTGGGGCTCAGTTTCTGCTTACAAAAAATATTTAATTCATTGAGAATGTTCACCTCCATCCCACAGTGGTGACTGACGCAGGGCCCATTTTATCACCAGGTGTTGTCTTGGAGTGGTTGTATTATTTAATAATAATAAAGTTGGTAAAACTGAATACTCCCATGGGATTTGTTTGCTCATTATTTGTTACTGTTGTTTGACAGGCAGTGTTTGCTCAGGACTATAAACTGAGTCTTCTTCATCTTGTAATGCGACCTGCTGCCTTGTGCTGATGCTTGTTTGTGTTGTGTTCGTGCACCAAACAAATGTCAGTGCCACTAATGAATTACTTTTCAGGCCTGTCTTTTCTCCATGACACTTCTCATTTAACATGTTTATCTTCATCTTGTAATGTGTTTTGTGCGGATCTTGAAACATTGAGGCCTTGTGCTGATGCTTGTTTTTGTTTGTGTTGGTGCACCAAACGAATGTCAGTGCCACTAATGAATTACTTTTCAGGCCTGTCTTTTCTCCATGACACTTCTCATTTAACGTGTTTATGCCACTTTTTTTCTTTCTCTGCTTTGCTCATTGTCAATTGACACACATTTTTTTTTATTCCTGTTTCCAGGACTTATCAAGCTGTGAAGCTGCTGTACTGCTTCGGTATTTTCATCACTTTCGCCCTGCAGTTCTACGTTCCAGCAGAGATCATCATACCGCCGGTAGTGGCTCGCGTGTCAGCGAGGTGGGAGACGGCCGTCGACCTGCTGCTTCGCACCGTCTTGGTCATCTTCACATGTAAGTAGAAATCTATAAATAGTGGTTCTTAATTTTATTTTTCTAATCCCCTTATTTTGGTCAGAGGTCTTCAGTAATTAAATGGGAGGAATCCCAAAATAATGTAAAAAAAAAAAAGAATATTGGCCATATGACATAGTGACTTTTTTTTTTTTTAAAAAACCTTTAACATGAAATTGTCCTTGGCCTTGAAAATCCTGTATCAGTCAGGTCCAGGTTTGTGTGTGATGTTTGCTCAGTGGTCTCACGTGAATGGAAGCGGCCACTTGTCCTGTTGACTCACATGCCTCTGTCTGTTCCCCTTCCACTTCTAATCACACATTCCTCTGAAAGCTCTGCTGGGCTATTTATAGCAGCACTGGTCCTCCAGTTCCTGTTGATTCTCATCCAGCCAGCACTGACCTTTTAGCTCTGATGTATTATGTCCCTGGGTCACTTTGCTGTGATTCTATGTGAAGATTTCCAATACCTGGGTAATTCACCTTCCCCTGTCTGCTCCAGAGGCTCAGACTACTGTTGAATGTGGATCAGGTCTTTACATGTCTAAGGGTATTGAAGGTCATATAGGAGTTTTCCCATCACCATTTGGTCTTTGTGGACTCAGAGAAGGCTTATGATTATATGCTACAGGAGTACAGGGTGCAGTGGCTGCAAGCCCTCCACTTCTTGTATAACCAGAGTTCATATTCTTCATCTCAGTGTTTAACATGTCAGTCCTCTTCTCATTTTTGGCTCTACCAGGTTCACTCCCTGTGACTCAACCTGTTTGTGCTTTAGTGGACAAAGCTCCAGAAACTGCTGAGGGTAGACTGGGGTGAGCTTGGTGACCACAGGATCACTGGGCGAGACCAGTCTATCACAGGATCGACTGACGCACAGAGAAACAGAGATGGACAGCTGTTCAATTGCATTTAAACCCAATTTCGAGTCACCAGTCAACCTAACCTGCATGTCTTTGGACTGCAGTTGGGAGTATGCAGAGGAAACTCATGCAGACTCCAGACAGGTCCTGTTTGAACCCAGAACCTTCTGGCTGTGAGGTGATGGCGTTAACCACTGCACCACCGTGCCATGTTAAGCTGATACTGTAAAAGTGAATAGCCAAATGCAGACATGTGCCACTTCACGTCTGCACGGTCATTTGCTGGGTAGCCTGGGGTTTCATCGGCTCTTATTAGAGTGCATGTGGAGATTGTGCAGCACTGAAAAAAAAAGACTTTCTTCCAGTGGGGTTGCACTGATGCATGCTAGGATGAAGGAGGCAAGGGACTAGAGAAGGAGTCATGTAGCTCCTACATGCACATCCACACTGTGGCGATTGCTTCTGGTTTTGAATTGGAACACATGCAGTGGTTGAAGCGGCGCACTCTTCTATGTGTACAGTAAATTTTGAAGAGGATTCCTCTGGGTCTTGGTCTTTGAACTGACAGCAGGTGTCAGTTCTTGGCTCTCCAGTGGGAGAAACCTTTGCCTTTGTTAGACTGCTGCTGCTTTATGCTAGGGGTGTAAGTTTGTTTCTGTTGGTCTGTGCTGCCAGGCTATCTGAGGGTGCAGAGAAGAAACCAAGCTCTTCACAGCCATAGTGCAGGTGCATCACTTTGTTTTTAATCTTCTTCTAAATGTGAAGAAATTCACATTGACACTAAAACTCCAGCAAATATCCAGAGATACCTGCCATTATATTTACTTTTTTTTTTTTAAATACAAAATCTAATGCCATCAGAATCATTTGAAAAGTCCTGTAATCACACAAAAATGACACCACTATTGAGAAGTTCAACCCAAGTCTAGACTGCTCTTGCTTTCCATAGTACCCCCCTTTAATATAAGTCATATTCATACATGCACCCATATGTGCTGAGAAATGAGCGTGGAACAGAATCGGTGTTTTGTTCTCACCTATTCAGCAACTCCAGCGACTTTCCTCTGTGTGCATCACTTTGCCACAGGCCTGAGCTGAGCAGCCGGCTCGCGTTGTTAAGCTGTTGATGGCAACAAGACAGGACATGAGGATGTCATGTGAGCTTCCTCTTGTTCTTTCTGTTTTTGTACTGCACCTTGGAGTGCTGTGGCAGAGAGGTGGCGTGCCCCTGGGAACGCATGCTGCATGTTGTCAGGCTGTGCTGCTCTCGTGTTTTTGACCCCTCTAGAAACCTTCACCTTTACGTCTCGTGGAGCCAATTCACCTGTTTTCAGCCTCTGCTGCAGGTCGACGCCGGAAAAGTGTTGTTGTCTTTAAAGACTTTCTTGCACTCTTAGATCCCCTAAAACCCTGGAGCAGCACCCAAGGGCTCTTGTATACAGACAGGTCAGCATCAAGGCAGTAAAGGACGGCAGTCTCTCTCTGATCCTATTACTTTATCTCCTCACTCGAGAAGGCTAGGAGTCCACTGGGAGCCCCTTTGTCTCTTTGTCACTGTTGTCATTGTAGCGTCCCCAGAGGTGCCTACAGCTCAATATGTTTGTTGTTCAAACGAAGAAGTGTTTGACTTTTATCAGCTTAGGGTTTTTGACAACTTCTAAAAGTTGGGGGGGAAAAAAACCATAGAAGGCCTTTTAACAATGTGTCTGCTTTGTTGGTCTGCTTTCATTCGATCAAATTGATTGAAAGGCATGCGTTCATATCGAAACCGCATCCTGGAGGCATTAAAAAGGCTTTTACAGTCATGGCAAAAGTACTGGCACCCCTACATTTCTGTCAGATAACCCACCCGCCAAGCTACTGTTTTCATATCAGAATTGTACTGATTAAAGAAACCTTATAATCAGAGCTGGCCTTTGGCTATTTGAGCCAGTCGAGGCCTATTTTAATGGATCAGTGTCAGCTAAACTAAATCTAATCAAAATCCGATCTTTGTGCACCGCTGTCCTCCATTAACCCCCGTTGTCACTGTACATGAATTTACCCTCTTTCTACTTCCATTCATTGTTTGTTAAACAACCCAGTTATAGTTGATGTGATTTTTATTATTATATTTTTATCCATTCCTTTTGGAATGATTGAGGGCCATGTTCATTTTCAGCATCACAGTGACTGGAGTGTGCTTTTATTTCTTCACCTTTCTCAGATGTTCTGTTTCTAGAAATGTGAATTTGCTCCTCTGCCTCCGGGCCACTGGTTCCTGCTTAGGAATGTGACTAGTTTGCCCATAGTTTTCCATCTTGTCCAGGAAAACATTCTGTAGCCCGCTTTCTGTTTTGCTTAAGATGTATGTCAGTTATTTCAACATGTGGGTTTCAGAACAGATGTCATGTATAAATTTATTGCAACCAGGCTGCAAACATCCTTATTTATGATGCATTCGTACATGATATGATGCATTATGAGGACTTGTTTTCGGCTTTGCTTCAAAAGATGAACAGTCATCTGCATTTGTTGCATTTTGCCCTGACAGCCACACTCCAGTCTCTCTGCTGGTGCTTATTACCCAAGTCGTGCATAAAATCCAGGAGGCTGTTCCAGACTGTTCCCTGTTGTTTAAGATCAGCGCTAAGAGGTGTGTTCTGGCACCCCAGGGCACTTCAGTCTTCATGCACGTTAAAATCCTGTAATGTGGTGTACCTTTTGTTTTTACTTGGCATTTAATGTGAGCTTTTTGTTCCATACGTATGTGGGTACATTGACTTACAATGAGCAGAATAACAGTGGTTACACAGTGAGCTTTGAATGTTTTGCTTACACTTACTATTTAGTGCTTCAGGGCATTTGTCCATGGGGTTATTGTGCAGCTGCTTCCATGCGCACACACACAAATAAATGGGAACATTTAAGCCTTAGCAGATGTTTAAAGGAGGGGAAACAGAGGTTTTATAATAAAATAATAGTAAATATAATGACAGCACTGTAGTTGAGATTGTTATGTAGGTAAAATCACTCTTAAAGTTCTCAGCTGTACAGGGAGTCTGGGGACATAAGAACTAAATGAAGCATCACTGCAGACTTTAGTCCCACACTGAGGAACTGCTGGGAAAATAAACTGTTGACAAGGCCATGAAATGATTTACCAACACAGAAGCGACCTTAAAGTCAAATCTGTAGCTTAAAGAAAGTCACTGGAAGGATGCTGATGTTTGATCAGGTTCTTAGGAGACCTTAGTGCCATAGTACTGAGACCTGAGCAGAGCTAGCAGCTACAGACAGGTGGCAGATTAAAAAGCCTGAATAAATGAGGGGTCGCCTCCAGGATGACAGCGCCCCCATCCACAGGACATGCTTCATGTTTTCTTCCTGTCAGCTGTCGCCACTCTGTCTAGTCACATGTTCAGTGTAGCACAAAACACTCCAGCAACTTAATAGTTAACTAATCACAAGCATAGATTGTAAATGAAACCACGTTGTCATATTGCTCTACAGTTTTGTGTTCTCTTTGCCTTGTTTGAAGTCAATGATGTTGCAGCATAAAACTTTTTTAACCTCATTTCTTGGTGGAATTAAGGTTATATAATCATCAGAATGTAAATTGATTACACCCCCTCCATCAGGATGCCACCTCCTGATTAAGTGAGTCCTCATATGCACTTGGCTCCTGTTACTGTGATATTTTTGTAATTTCATACAACCATCAGCCACAATAAATTGAACTGGGAACTTGAGTGTGCGTCCTGTTTCCACTTGGCCAAAGCTTGTGATTGCTCTCCCAATGTGTCCCAAGGCCTGAAATAATTCATTTTTAAGACATTTGTAAAGGATAGAATGAAAAGTTAAGTGAGTGCAACCACCCCCTTCAATGAATTGCACAGCAAGTTAATGTCTGTACTTTTGTACAGGTCCCCACTAGACGTACCCCTTCCTCAGGCCCACACACAATGTTTGAGTCAAATGAAGATACTTTTTATTTGTGCTGGAGTCACGGTGACTCGCTGGAGGGCAGCATATACAAAGCATTGGTCTGAAAATGAAGTATAGTACTTTGTTCTTTATCTTCTTTGTGTAACTTTTACATTTTATTCACATTGCTTCTGGTTCATCTGCAGATAAGGAGGTTTTAAAATCTACACTGTTCATTCATTCAGACACTCCTGACTTGCCACGACATCATAAAACAGTCATCTTCCTTCTTTAACATCTTTGCCGTTCTCTGAATGCCACAAAGCCCTGGCAGGTGATGGAAAGGCGCTGCAGTGTTTTGTCTCTGTGCGATTGGAGGTTTTAGGCCGACATTAGTGTTCTTGGAACGTTCCCTCTTCAGCCCTTTGAAGCTGCCTGATGATCCACGTTGTGCCTCCCTCTCGGGGAACAGCAGCCAGCACTTTAGCTACAGCCTGTGAAGGCTCAGCAAGCTTTTCGGGTACACCCTGCCCCTCACCGTCCTTGTTCACAGCCCCGTCTGCTGTGTTTGATTACTCAGAAAGCTTCAAATGTAGCTTGAAGAACACTCATTAGTGGTGAGGGCTCTCCCCTAGAAGTGACAGGTTTACTCCTTGGGAGTGTGTGGTGGCGAGCTGTTGTTGCTGCACTTCACACATGAATGTTTGATCTTGCTGTTGCCCTGTTTGGCTCAGTGAACAGGCAGTAGCAAGTTATTGATTATGGTTTAAAGAGTCCTTATCAGCTGCTGGTACTGGGCGTCTGTACAAAGAGAACAAGAACATCAGACTTCTCTCTGCTCAAGGTGGGAAAAGATGGTAACATACATGTTTCAAGGTGAAGAGTTTCTGTGTGTGTGCAGAAAGTTCTTTTCCATGCATGTAACAACACTTGTATGTAGACATTTGAACTGTGAGCATGACTGTGGAGTGTGTCAGCAGGATCAGAAACACGATCCTGGGTTGTGACGGTACAGTGCAGCTTCGGAGCGGGCACAGTGCTGTATGCTGGTCTCCATGGCAACGGGTGAAGGTGACCCAGGTAGCACCACAGTCGGTATACAAAGCATTGGTCTGAAAATGAAGTATAGTACTTTGTTCTTTATCTTCTTTGTGTAACTTTTACATTTTATTCACATTGCTTCTGGTTCATCTGCAGATAAGGAGGTTTTAAAATCTACACTGTTCATTCAGTCAGACACTCCTGACTTGCCACGACATCATAAAACAGTCATCTTCCTTCTTTAACATCTTTGCCGTTCTCTGAATGCCACAAAGCCCTGGCAGGTGATGGAAAGGCGCTGCAGTGTTTTGTCTCTGTGCGATTGGAGGTTTTAGGCCGACATTAGTGTTCTTGGAACGTTCCCTCTTCAGCCCTTTGAAGCTGCCTGATGATCCACGTTGTGCCTCCCTCTCGGGGAACAGCAGCCAGCACTTTAGCTACAGCCTGTGAAGGCTCAGCAAGCTTTTCGGGTACACCCTGCCCCTCACCGTCCTTGTTCACAGCCCCGTCTGCTGTGTTTGATTACTCAGAAAGCTTCAAATGTAGCTTGAAGAACACTCATTAGTGGTGAGGGCTCTCCCCTAGAAGTGACAGGTTTACTCCTTGGGAGTGTGTGGTGGCGAGCTGTTGTTGCTGCACTTCACACATGAATGTTTGATCTTGCTGTTGCCCTGTTTGGCTCAGTGAACAGGCAGTAGCAAGTTATTGATTATGGTTTAAAGAGTCCTTATCAGCTGCTGGTACTGGGCGTCTGATGTACAAAGAGAACAAGAACATCTGACTTCTCTCTGCTCGAGGTGGGAAAAGATGGTAACATGCATGTTGTAAGGTGAAGAGTTTGTGTGTGTGTGTGTGTGTGTGTGTGTGTGTGTGTAACAACACTTGTATGTAGACAGAACTGTGAGCGTGACGGTGGAGTGTGTCAGCAGGATCAGAAACACGATCCTGGGTTGTGACGGTACAGTGCAGCTTCGGAGCGGGCACAGTGCTGTATGCTGGTCTCCATGGCAACAGCTG